ACAACCTGATGACCAAAAAACTCCCTGAAGTTTTATTCCGCATTTCAGTTTACAGTTGTACTGTTGTGCTGTAAGATAGACTGATTCAGTGTACTTTCTCTGATATGTATCAAAACCAAAATAGATATTCACGATAAAAATGTAGAATTCAAGTTAAAGAAATATGTTAAAAGATCTTTTTCCCCTATGACTAACCAAAATAAAACTACGTAAAAACACCATTTATACAGCAAGCGCAAGTCCTCAAAAAACTTTCTCCCTTGGTCTTATCTTGAAATTTTATTCCAGGTACTGACGGCAGATGCAGTTACCCATTGGAATTAATTTTGATGAAGTTAAATTCTGCATAACTATTTTTTCTATTAACGAAAACCAAAGCTTCTTATGTGTGAACCTGTCAACACCACATGTACATTATCCCATAAAGTATATGAGTGCAAGTAGCAGACAAACATTACAGCTGGATGAAGTAAGTAATACAACTGCTGCAACATGCTACTTATTCCAAACTTGACAAAAATGTCATACTGGCTAGCATTAACACTGTCTAAACAGTGTTTCTATTAACAAAACACAGTCAGAGCTTTCTGAATCTTTGGTAGACTCTGGTCTACCCAGATCTAGATCTGGAAAGTCTACTAAGCCCTATTTTAACATATGATCTAATACGAACATGCAACAAAAAATCCAACACTATTCTAAAGAAAGAAAAAAAAAACAACATAGCAAATAATAACACAAAAGAGTAAACTAGTTATCTTGTGGGGAAAAAGAAAACCAAACTTTTTTTGAAAAGTTAATAAACATTTTCTCAATTATTTATGACAGAGCCAGATAGAAAATTAATTAGATTTCTTCTAGTTTCTTCTAGTTCTTTATTTTCCCATAAAAATGGCCTCCTCTCTTTTTACTGAGAGGGAAGCTTGCTTATGTATCCAACAACTGAAGAACACGATTTAAATGGCACCCCAGGTTTCCCTGTTCTCTTGAACATATAGCATTAATTGAGTAACAGGCTTTCTACTACACAAATGTCCGTAATTCTTCACTTTTATAACCTCAGGTATCCATTTATGATGAACTAGCAAAACATTTGCTATCATGCTCAGTCTTTACAACAGAATTACAAAAGGCAGGTAATACATTTTGAAGAACCACCATCTATCACTGAAAAGTGACATGAACAATCCATTATCATGAAATGTAGGGACTGTGTGGCCAGGTATTACACCTGCACACACAAAATACTCTGCTTCTGCAACAGAAATTAGTATCTTTATATCCTCACTTCAATACCTTGTGAACTAAAGGAACTCACTGAAATACTATGCTGATTTCCAGTTCAGTAGAAATTTGAAGTTTTCTTTCCCCAGCTCCACCTGCCCATATTTCCTAATACAAGGAGACACTGTAATCTTTCCCAAGACATATAAGAATCCCTCCTCTGCTTTCCTCCAATTCACAAGAAACTTAAAGAAATGTAACTGTACTATCTAAACTATACCTCTTAATCAAATTTTGGCTGCATATAACTAAGAGGTAAAATTTGAAATAATTAGGTAAGACAGACAAACAAGGTACAACTTTCCTCCTGATGAGATCAAACTCAGAAGAGCATGCTCAATGCAATTTCAAGTTCCTGAAACCTTGACAAATCTCACAGCATGAAAGCTTCAGAACTGTGATCTAAGCAAAGGAGGCACTTCTACCTTTTATATCAGCTCAAGACACCTGCTGGTCTACTAGGCTCATCAGCAGACAGAATAATGATGGACCACTGCTTCAGTGATTTAAACTGGCACACAGAACTTCATAAAGATATAAGGAATGTTGTGGCATGTTCTCTTAACTGCGGCCCAAACACTTATTTCCTTGTGTTACCAGCAACCAGTTCAGAATCATCAAGCAGCTTGGGCATCCGTATTTTGTAGTGCTTAAACAAGGACTGATAAATTCAATCTTTGCATCTGATGATGTCATAATATTTGTAAGAACCAAATATAACTCATGGAAATCAGAATAAAATCTCTCTTGCCACTATTGGGAAGTGATCTTGCAAATTTTTGCAAAACCAGAGGGTAGCTATTCTATTCTGTAATTGAAGTTCTGAAAACTGGAGAACTATCAGAAGTGTCACATGTAAAAATCTCCAAAAAACTGCAAATAAAACTACTGCTTGAAGGTTTTCACTTTAGTTCTACAGTGCTCCAACAATTAACTATATTACTCACATAACCTAATTTAGGCAAATAACATGAAACTGTAATTTAACCAAGTTGTACCAAATTTGACCAAACCTTACTCTGAATCTGAGTAAACAAAATCATAGTGCTGAAGTGACGGAAGAATCATTCAAATGCCCTCAGAGTTGACAATTCCAGCATCTCCTTCAGTCGTCTCCTAAGAACAGTGTTAACTGTTATGGTTAGCAATTCTAACACCTATCTTTACTTTGATGCACACATCTGGCATATTGGTATAATGCAGTATTTCTACTGACTGACAAATACACAGATTACTCCAGTAACAAATTAGATAGACAAAGATTTTAAATATATTCTGAATCTGTTGTAACAAATAAGCTACTTGCACCAAACTCTACCTGTCAAAATACTTTTCTGAAAGGAAACCAGTGTTGCAGGATCTGTATATCCAACTGCAATATATGCTGCAAACCATTGGCTTCTCCAAGAAGTACACTTTTGGATACCTGCTGATCATTATAACCAGAAAATAAACTGAAGTGCTTTGTATTATAAGACCATTTACAATTCTGTGAGACTGGGAAGTTTCTTTATCCTCTTTTTACAAAATGAGATGTGAGATACTAAAGCTAGAAATGGGACTTGTATACTGCCAAGCTGTGAGGCACCTACCTCCATACTGAAATTTATGATATTGGAGTGATCTAGATTTCTACTGAAATACAAAGGATTATATGGTATATAGGAAAGGTATCCACAAAGGAAAACAAACCAAACAGCTGCTTTCAAGAAGCGATAGAAAGTACAGAGGCAAAAGACACACCTTCCCTGAAGCATCTCTACCTAATTTTATTACCTCACTATGTGCTGGATGAAGACAGTTCAAACTCAAAATTTAGAGTCCTGAATCCCCTTCTGTAATTATCTACCTTGATTCTCCTTTCCAAGTAGGAAGACTGTAGAAACTGCTTAATGATTTTTTTTGCATAAAATAGTAACTGAGAATAGGAAATATGTAAGTTTCAGTGCCTACTCCATCAATAATTAATTACTTTACAAAAATTATGCAATGAATGACAGCCTCAACCATTTCTTCGCAGTGCCAAATTTCTTATTCTGAAACATCTTTTCCTTGTTCCAAGGAAAATTTTGTTCTCACTCTTCCAACATGTAATGGCTGCAAAGATGTGTAAAACTTGAAATTCATAGTGCTCTTCCCTGCCTCTTCTCCAAAAAACCTGCAGATTTATGATCAGGCCACTCTCATTTGGGATGTGAAGTGTAAGCTCCAGGCCCCCTCAGGCAAATATCTTCAACCTCCCTCTTAATGAAAATATTAAGGAATGCTAATTCTTCAGTCTCCCTCTGTGTCAGGGAAGGAACCTACAGCACTATTTCAAAGAAGAAACTTCCCAGAAGACGTGCCAATTTAAGAGTCCCTACCTCACATTTCCATGTTGTTCATTCCCACCCCACTACATACTACTATTTGTTCTGGAGTAACTGTTTAAAAGGTAGAGTGGCAAAAGTTTAAAGCAAAAAAAGTTATTTTTAAATTTATCAGTTGACTGATTCAATTTACCACATGGCACTGGCAACAGTTGCGTCAACACCACAGAGGACTAAACGAAGGGTAGAAACAAGCAGTCAAACATGAACAGTAAGTTTCTGCATTAGCATAGTGAAATTCTTAAATTCATATTCACAGCTTGCAAAGCATTTTTATGAGACTGAGGATTAATCTTCAGCATTGTAAAGCAGGTGCCATTTTAAGAGAAAGGAAGCAGTAACTGACAGGATGAACAGTAAGAGCATAAAAAGTGGGAGGAAAGTAGTATGGTCATAGTCCTTCTTTCTCTATGTATGCAAATATAGCTTTCTGTGTGTGCTTTCATATATATATATATATATACATATATATATATATATATATATAAAAAGACCACACAGATTTTAATACATTACTGAAACCATATTGAATGTATGCTTATCTGTAAAGACTTAAATAGCATGGAAAAGCAAATCCCTTAAGTCACAGTTAATGACACTGAACTATATTTTTTATTCCTGACTAGAAGTGAGTCTGAGCCCTGTGACACTGAAGTAAACACATGCACACATGTTCAACTAGAGGTTGGTCATGTACTGGACTTTCAATACAGGTCTCTGCACTAAAGAAACAACTAGCAAAGTGCCACCAAAATGATAAAGTAATTTCTAGCATTAGTGGAATTCTGTGAGTGAAATTCCTCCCAGTGATGAGTCATAAGTAGCTATGTACCCCCCGAAAAAAGTAAGAGACCCTGGGGTGGGGACAGACAGGAAAAGCTACAGGGTCCCGAACAGGGCAGAGGGGTGCGAGTCTCTGGGAAGGCCGTGCTGGCGACGGAAGGAACCATCGCCCGCTCCGGCTCCCTGGCAGCGAGGCAAACGCTGCCCTCCGCGCCGGGCGCGGCGGGGCTCCTCTGCCGTTCCGACCAGCTCCCGACCTCCGGGCGCCGCAAGGACGCCGGCCGGGCGGTGACAGCGGGGAAGGCAGCAAGGACAGACACGGACAGACACGCACAGCCCCGGGTAAGGGCCTCGGGCCGGGCGGTGGCTGGCAGCCCGGCCGCCCCCCGTTCGCGGCGGGGCCCTGCGCGGCGCCCCCGGCCCAGCGCCCCAGGCGGCCGCGGCGAAGCCCTAGGCCCGGGTCAGCCTCCTCGGCAGCGCGGCCTCCCCCCGCGGGCCGCCGGCGGCGGGTCCCTGGCTGCGGCGGTGCCGCCCGGCCGGCCAGCGGCCCGCGGTGCCCGTTACCTGGCCGGCCGCAGGCGGGCCGCGGCGGCCCCGGTCCTCGCGACGAGCTGCCTCAGAGCCGCTGACATTGAGAGAGCCGCCGCCATGACGCTCGCCGCAGCCGCTGCGAGACGGCGGCGTCACACGGCCAAACCTCCTCCGCCCAGACAGGAAACGCGAAGGCGAGGGCGAGGGCGGGAAGAGGGAGGAGGGGAACGGGGCGCGGCGGGCAGCGGGGAAGGCGTGGGGGCCGGTGCCGGGGAAGGCCGGGCCTGGTACCCGGAGCCCCGGGGAGGAAGCGTGCCGGCGTCTGGGGCACCGGCGCCCCTTCCCCAGCTGCGCGTTCGGTCCTGAAACGTCTCCTGGCAGCTCCGGTTTGGACGCCATCTTCTCAGTGTCAGGGGACGAGCGCCTGAGCGAGGGCTGGCGCGGGCCTGGCCGTCCCCTTGGTAGGGCGGCCGAGCGGGCCGGTGTGTGTGCCCGCCGGCGGGGTGGCGAGGAATGGCGGGCTCCCAGCCCTCGGCTCCCCTGCTCCGGCAGCTCCTCTGGCTTGGGCGCCACAGCCGTGGGATGGGTATTTTTGGCCCCATTCTTTCCCATTCTGTTTCACGGACAAAATGGTGCACACTGCACAAAGGCATCAAAGCCTTGATACATCTTCCTGTCCCTTTTTTAAAAAAATATTTATTAGTTTCACTAAAACGCATCCACATTCTTGGACCACTGAAGTACCTCTCCAACATACTGTAGTGCTTTCAGGAGCTCTGTCTAGCTCCTAGATCAATTCCAGCCTTGTTTCCTATATTCAAGAAAGATGGGCAAGAGCCCTGTTCTCTTGAAGTAGAGTCGTTTTTAATACATTAAAAGGGAAGTAGATAAAAGTACTTATGCCCTGGAAGCATCATCGTGCGGTGTTCGTGGTTAAAGAAGACAGGTTGCTCTAAATCTAGTCAAATACGATAGTGTTCAGTGCCGAAAGCTAAGACAACAAAGTTTTCAAAAATCCGTGATGCAAAAGCATGGTGTTACAGCAGGATCTGTAATACTGTGAAGGACTGAAAAGTTTTTGGTTCTAGGGGAAAAAAAAAAAAAAAAAGGCGGTATTCTTAAAATTATTCTAATTGCCTTTATATTAAAAATCTGTTGACATTTTGAAAAAGGCTAAAGTCTCAGCTTCAATTCTACTGTAAAACTGAAAAAATATTTAGAAGTTTGTTAAACAGGAAAGTGATGAAATTCCTACAGGAGGAGATGCTGGTTTTGACTAAATGTTTCTGTGTTGCTCCAGAAGCCAGCCTCACTTTCGATTTTGACAGCACAGTTTGACAGGGCCAGATACAAAAATTCTGCACAATCAAGTAGCCTCAGTGTTTTCCTGCCCCAAATAAAGGAAGACAAAAGAAGAATAGTTCTGATGAAAAGTTAAACTTTCAACGAGTGACTTCTGCAGTTATCAAATCAACAGAGCATTAATTTTCAATGAGAACAAAGAAGCAACACCCTTGTATTATATAATCCTAATTAAATGTCAGACCTAGAGCCATTATTTCATAGTCATTGTCTTAGGCAAAGGTTGCAAAAGACTTTGTATTGTAAGTCATCGTATTAGAACTTTCCACTCTCAAATATGTAATTTTCTGTGCTTTCTTCCCATCAAACACTTCTGAGATATGGGAAAATGAAAACATAGACCCATTTTCCCTTTCAAAAGAGCAACAACGCTGCAGAAAAAGAAAGATGAAAAATCTTTCAAGGCAGCATAATACGGAGACACAGTAAGGACAGTGATTTATAAATTTGGTGATTTTCAGATAGGAATATTTAAAATTAATTTTTTAATCATTAGTGAGTGTGTTCAAAGCCAGATGTAGTAAGACAGACAGAAGGAGTAATTCTGTACCAGTGATGAATTGAAATGGTATATGTGGGGAGGTGATATCCTTGGTTAAATGCAGGTGGGAAAATACCCCAGGCTTCTGACCTTATCAGTTTTTCTTCAGGGATTTTGAGAAAAAAGACTTAAAAAACTTTTCCCCAAAGTTTTTTGAGATTTTTTTTTCAACTGTATCAGTTATGAGCCTAATAATGCATGTTACTTCTTGCACCAAATTTTCAGTCACATGCAGATTGACAGAATATTTGCATCTCAGGAAATTCTTGACTTTTGCTCTCTTCCAAAATCTTTTTCACGTGCATGAGTGATGGTAGGTTAGAGGAGGAATTCACACCAATTCAGATTTCTTCAGCTAATCTAAATTTGTTTATTTTGTGGTGCTTCATATAGGAGAAGTATTCTGTTGTTTCTAGAAGCAGAGGAAGATTTTATAACCATTCAAAGGCACCTGTGGTTTGGTGAGGCTAGTTGCCCTTGAGGGCTCCACTCTACACTGAGGCAAATTGTTTGAGTCTGTCTACTTTGCATCAGCTGGCAGATCATCATAGCTCAGCTGAAGACTTTTGGGGTAGATCCAGGTTTGTATCTGGTGTCTTGTTTCGCTGTCAGGGATGGAGCTGATGGCTTGGGCAGCACGTGATGGCTCCTGTGCTTCACATGGGTCACTTTGAACTCCTGCTCTCCCTGCTACCTCTTCTTTGGGTGGGAAAAGGATGGAGGTAGTACAAGGCAGCTGGAATTTGAAGCTGCCACCTTACTAAATTAATCTGTCAAAGGAGGATGCCAAGTTCAGGAGCTGCCTTTGGCAGCTGCAGAGACAGGACCATCTTGTGCTAGATCACGACGACTGATGGGCTTGAGCATGTGCACAAGTGAACGTGCTGCTAATTGCTAGCACAGTCTCTGGAACCATTTTGGCCCTGGCCAATTAGCACCATCCCAAACAATGTCTGAGCACAGTCTGGAAACTAGCATGGGCTTGGGACTGTTCCTAATAAGCTGCGTGGATGAGGCCATTCTGGGTTTTGGATTGTTTTTTTGGAGCAGGGGAGAAGAGAGGAGAGAGTTTAGCTCCATGGATGCGAGCTGTGCCACGTAAGCTGAGCTGCATCAGCGGTACAAAAGGGTCCTTGAACAGTTTATTTACTAATATAAATGTAACCATAGCATTTGTTGCTGAAGTATTGTATAGTAGTCACAAACACATGAGAGACTATTTCAAGACAAATAACCATAGCTCTCCAGAGACAGCACGTGTGGCAATTCCAAGTACACAGTTTATGGTGAAATTAATATGCACCAACAGTCCCTTGCAGTCTGGTGCCTGAGAAAGGCAGAGATACGAATTTTTATGTTTCCCACTACTTCCCCAGGTTTAGAAGTAGACCTGTAAGATACTCCTACATACATTTAAATTGATCATATACTGTTTTATCTGATTGTCTTAAATTTGTGTAAATGTATTCACACATGCAATGCAACACCTTTTAAAACCGTGATGTCTTAAGTTAAAATCGTGAATCAGTGTGCGTAACAGTCTTAGAAAATGAAGTGTTAAGTGCCATATTCCCCAAAATAATTCAATGCATCAATTTTTGAGGTGACTGCAGAATAATCATTCCAAGTCCATACTTTCATGAAGGCTTAAACTTTTCATTCATAATTCTGGCTGCAAGCTGGTCTTCTGTCACTGATACACTGTGAAACACTGTCCCTCAAGACTGAAACAGTTCATGTGCCAGCACTTATTGTGCTGTACAGTATGCTCACAGTTCCTATTGTCTCACTCTATGAGAAAGCTTATTAGCTTAACTGTGCAGAGTAGAGTCGTATTTTCTCTTCACATATGTGAGAGTCGTATTTTCACATATGTGAGCTGCTCACATTGTGAGAAATGGAGAGGAAAATTTAACTTTTTACTTTTTTCCAGTGAGACAGTGATTGCACAGCTTTACTCTGTGCCCAAGCAAATCAATTCTTCTACAAATAATTTCATAGTCTTGAATAAACCACAGTTAACAGTGACAAGTAGAATTCTAGAGCTATTCCTTAATGTATTGTTGCTTTGAATTGATCTGTTTTCTTCTGGGTGATATAGAGGAACTATGTAGGAAACGATAGCATCAGTCTCAAGGATCTTGACAGTCTAATGTGGCAAAGAACTGGTAGAAAAGGGCTACAACCTACAAGAAAACCAGTTATGCTGGCTCTAGCTGTATGTATTCCCAGTTCCATTTTGTTTGACGGTTATATTGCTTTTACATACAGAAACTATGATTTCAGTGTTGGATAAGTCTCAGTTTCTGACCTTTCAGAGATCAAAGCATGACAGCTTAGCATACATTAAGTAATTCACATTAATTAAGTTTTATAGGACCAGAACTTGGTTTTTAAAATACTTTTATTTTGAAATTTTTATCTTTATAAGAGCTTACTCTGTAAGTAGCGACTCTTTTGACTCCATTCTGTCCAAAATAATTTCTTTTGCTCATGCAGTATCAGCTGCAGTTATACTTGAGGTTTTTTTGAGTATTTGCAATGGGACAAAGGCTATTCCTCTTATACAGTCCTTTGCAAACCTTACCATACTTTAGGCGTGAAGATAAATTTAATGGGATATTTTTTTTTCCCAAATGTCAATTTCTGCATTAAAAGATGAGTTAGCATAAGAACATGGTGTTTTGGGATTTTAGTATTTATTTACATTCTCTATATGGCAGCCAGGTTGGTAAGGAAGCTGACAATATTCTCAAAGTCTGTGTGACTGCATATGAAATTTAAAGTGCAGTTGGAGCTGTCTGGATTTAATTTTTTCCCCCCCTTTTAGTATGGGGGAATAAAACATCTCAGCTCATACAGGAGAAAAAAATTAAAACCAGGCAGAGCCAGCCCCATTGTAAGCTTCACATGCAATCAAATGGCCTCGCAGGGAAACTCCCCTTCCTGGCTACACTACTGCTGCCACTGGTGAACCACAATTTTAAAAAAAAATCACTTTTTATACTCTCTGCTTTCAAGCTAGACATTGACATGTGAACCAAAATCTTCTTTTTAGCTATTGCCCGGGAGGCCACCAAAGAATCCCAGCTGACCCCCTGCCATCAGAGTGAGTGATGGTCGGCTGCTGGTGTTGCAGCTCACTTCCCCCAGGCTGCCACCCTGAGAGATCCCACCATCCACCGTCGGTGTGAGTGACATTAGCCCACTGGGCTTTGAAAACACTTTTCAGGTCGGTCATCGCAGAGAGATAGCTTCCTTCACACACACCATCAGGGTGAGTGACGTCAG